TTTTACATATTTAAAATTGACAAGATTTATTTGACTAAACATTAAGTTCCCCAATCAACAATTTTCTTCATAGAATTCTGCAGCGTCTTCAGAGCTACTATGTAATAAAACCTCGGCATATCAGCTCAAGGACACCTAGAATTTTTTCGGTAGTTTTGCAGTTGCATCGCACTCTTGTTTTTTTATAAATTGGTTGCACTCTAAGAGACATTTAAAACTTGCGATATTGTTTTGTAACCTAACTATGCTTTACTCACTTAACTATACATCTCAATAGCTTTATCTCAACTGTCAGCTGTGTTTTTCAGGTTTTATTTCTAAATATTTTTCCAGTAATCTATAAATCTTCACAATCTTCCTTTTCTTTGTGTTGATCTATTACATAAGATATCAATAAAATGTTAACCAATGAGAGCAATTTCAAATGGAAAAAAAGGTTCAAGAAGTATGAATAGTGACATGAGGCACAATATTCACGTAAAAACTTTAAATGAAACTAAAGTTTGCTTGCATTTATAAAGAAGACATAATCAGTTACACTCTTTGAATTTCTGAAACACAGTTCCACACCTCTAGGCAGTTACAAGGTCCAACAGCTGATTCAGTTATATTATTTTTGGTTCACCTGTTCATAACCTTTGCTCAGTTTTATTGTATATCCTGTTACGTTGCTCGTACCATGCTTAAAATCAGTTTATGATTTACCATGATTCCCTTCAAATCAATAAGTGCAACGCCTTGCCTAATAGTGAGAGGTTTCAAATTGTAATGAATTAGTTTTGCTAGCTATTACTATATTCAATAATAACTCTAATAAATCCATCCATCCATCCATTATCTTACACGCTTGTCCCAATTGGGGTCGCGAGGGGTGCTGGTGCCTATCTCCAGCAGTCAATGGGCGTAATCTAAATTTATTACATTGAAAAATCTTTTTTTAACTATTGCGGTATTGGTTTTTATCTAATTTTCATTTAAATATTTTACTTAGTTATTCTGTTCATTCAAAACTTGTTCAAGCTGTCAATACAGCTGACAAATAAACCCCATCATCTGGTTAACTCATTCTGCATCAGCAGAGCATGACCTGGTTTCATTCTGTGTTAACCTGCCCTATGGCTTTTATTGATGACATTCATAGATAAAATTATTACTTAATCTAAAGTTACTCAGGAATATATCTAGTAAATAAACACTGATAGACTCATTCATATTTAACACACCATTACAGTTTTTCTAATGTTGCATAATTTTTTTCCAATTAACAAGAAACAGACTCCAGTTAAACAATTCCAATTCTTTTGAAATTACTACATGTGTATTTTGACCCTTGATAATTAAAAGTATTTGGTTTATGATTTAAGGAAATTGTATATTTCTGTGTACCATACGTCTAAGTGTAGCACCTTCTACCAATTCCCTCTTACATGTAAAATAAAGCTTTTTGTGATTCTGAAAATCAGTGTTTACTGTCTTGCTTGAATTGTTACTTTTAGGTATATAGGCTACTACTAACATCTACTTGTCACTGAAATATATTTTCCATTACTATGAAATTATTTTGATCCGTTTTATTTTGAAACCATAGGTAAAATATATCTTCTGCATAAAAGTGACATGTTATTTTTGTAGTATTAATCATCACATTTAAACATAAAGTATTTGTAAGATGACAAACCCTTTATAGGTTACATTTAATGGTTAATGTTCAGTTCTATATTGACTAAATACAATAAGATTGTTTTACAAGGAAAAAGAACAAAGTGCTATTTAATGCAAAAATTCTGCTGTTTGCCTTTGAGTGGTTTGTTAAGGGTCTGCCCTTCTCCTCCTTAATCTTGTCTTTTTATTGATCTTGCAGTTTGCAAACTGGGTCGTTGACTCAATACAAAAGGGAATTCCACTGTTTTTGTGTGATTAAACTCTAAAGAGGTTAAAAGTGGGTATTTTGTTCAGATTAATGTTGATAAGTGAGAACCAGTAAATACAGCTGACTAAAAAGCAGCCGTTGTTTTTAACCTTGTTGGAACATTGAAAAAGTGCTGATGCAATTGGAAAGAGTAAACTGGCCATACTGGTATCAGCGCTGAAAGCTTAAAGTAGATTCCCAAGCAGTTATTCACAGGCACACAGTGCTTTGAAGATGCAATCTAAAGCAGACCTGTCTCCTCTGATCCTTGGTATAAATTATGCTTTTTGTTCAGTAATCTTCTTTAACAACCACCTGAAGCTTTCTAAGAACAGTAGGATTTACTCTAAAGAACAGGTAGATTGTTGCCTACTAAGTAGGTGATTTCTTAAGAAACTTGTTTGCACTGGAGGAGGCTTAACAAAAAATGTAGACCACACTTTTCACTTTTAGATTTGTAAGAAAAAACATTCTTCACAAAAGCCGAATACAGTATCTCAACACAATAAAATTTTGGATATGAACATGACAAAATGTGCAATGCTATACAGTACATGCATATAATTCCACCACCAGTTAATTGAGTACAATTGTTGATCTTGGAAACATGCTATTTTTTATTAATGTTTCGATTTAATGAAATGTTTGTTTGATTGTCTGGGTAGATTACAAAGTAATTTTTTTAAGAGAGTAATTCTACTCTGCTAGTTCATAATGTGGAAAGCTTTGAAAATGAGTGGATATTTTTCTGTTGCTAGTTAGATTAGTTCATGCGGAATAACCTTGCAGGCAAAGCTAGCCAGAAAATAAACCTTTCTAAAAGTGTATTAAAAAAACAAAAAGTTAGTTTGTCAGGGTCATAGCAGATGCTGCAACTTGATCATTTATTGTAATTAAAGATGTAAAAGGCCTCAAAAAGTAATTTTCTGTCAACAGCTTAATCACAAAAAGCTGTTGATTTAATTTAGCAAACTAGACTGACCACAGATGGATAAAGTTTATCTACATGGAGTGTGACTAAAGGGATTCCACAAACAGATTTCTCTGACTAGGTGACTATGCTGGGTAACACAGGACAAAAGTATGGAGGCCCAATTCTGACAGAATTGTAAAAAAGAATACATAAATAAATACTAAATAAATAAATAACCACATATTTAATTTTCTAAATTGTTAAAATGGCCCTACATACAACAGACCCAGTCCAGTTTACTAAGAAATTAAAGAAATTAACCTGGACCAAAGTAAGGCGTCTAATTAAGTGACAGACTGCTGCACCCTAAATGCACCAGGGAGCGTTATCACGCATCCTTCCTCTCAGCAGCTGTAAGACTTTATAAGTCTAAATATCCATTACTGTAAAAATGTCCATAGCTGGATATTGGTTATTTATTCTCCAGGTGCACAGTATTCATATTGTTAAAACAGTTTACAGTACATTATTTTATTGTTTATCTTTTAACTCTTCACTATTATTTAATTCTTATACACTTTCTAAGGTCCATATTTGTTTGACAATTTTTCCATAATCTTTTTGCTGCTGTAAACACCAGAATTTCCCAATTGTGGGAGAATAAAGGGATTTTCTATTATAATATATATTATAATGTGTTTAGTAAGGTAAATTGTCTTACAGGTTTTCTTAAAATAATTTTCTCATTAACGTGTTTAGGGAATATGATGATAAACCCTGCAGACATCCCAAGTTCCAAGTTTTTCAAATAAATAGTTGTTCAAATGTTCCCGGATTTTAGACTATGCGAGGTGGAGTTTTTTTTTCTTTTTCTATGCGAGTGAGAGCGGGCTGTACGATAATTTGTGCACTATGTGCGGATTAGAACTACTTCGATTGCGCAGACAACAAGAGAGAGCAGGGTGGGAGGAGGAGGTTGCTGGTGAAACCTGTGCAGCGTATCTGTCCAAAGAGCTGATTGGATCAGTCTGATAAGTTTCTCTGGGTTACTCTCTGGCAGTCACCTAGTTACCAGAGGTTTACCTCTAGGTACTAGAGGTTTAATCCTTGAATAAAAAACAAAAATATAGGACTGATTTTACAGCAGAATTTACGAAATTATATCCACCTCTAGTGAAGGGGAGGAACAGTGGCGGATCTAGACCGAATGTACCAGGGGCCCAAAGTGTTTTCATGGGGGCACAGAAAAGCATAAAATAAAAAACAGGGCAAGGGATTCAAATATATTAAGAGAGCTGCATGAAGTGAAATTTCTTTTCAATTAGGTTCAATAAAAATTATATTTCTTATGGGGTCAATTTAAAATTAGAATTTAGGAATTTTACATATTTTTGACTTAATTTAAGTTAAAACTACCGTTTTCTATAAAATTTTAATTAGAACTCAAGAAAAACAGTTAAATTCATCTTATTTGCTGTGAAGAAAAAAACATTTAACAGATAAAAACTGGGATCCTATCTCAATACCACTGTAGCTACCACCTTATTGTTTTTGAATAATTAGTAAAACAGAATTTGTAAAAAAAAAAAAAAGAATAAAATAGATCCAAAGGATCTATCAGCAACCATGTCTGTTCCAATGCATATAATCATTAGAATTTCTTTTAAGTATTATGTCTTCAATACAGGGGCCATAACAGGGGCCAGGATATGATCTATAGGGGCACTGGCCCCCATTGGCCCCTGTCTAGAACCGGCCATGGTAAGGAATGACGACACCGTGGCGAGATGGACTGTACGCTGAAACCCCATGAAAAACAGAAAGCACAACCGATGTTCAAGGCTACAAGATTGAAAGTATTGAAAATTACAAATAAAAGACTAATACTGTTCTGTTTTGTGTTTAAGAACTTACTGTTAGTTAATAAACAGTTGTTGAAGAGTTACTGTAGAGATTTGGTGAAGTCTATCTAAATAACAACTGAATAAAGCTCATCAATGCCAAGAGTCAGACAACTATTTGACGAAAAGCGTGTAATGGGAAAATATTCGCTGCTTGGTTTTACTAAGAGGATATTAATCAGAACTTTTTTTCCCTTTTCCCCACCCGTAGCGCTCCCCTGTCAGCTGACGCGGCAGGCAGAGGACAGTCATTGGTCGAGTTCCTCACAGTCACGTGCGCGTGTTTTGTGTGTAGTTTCACTTCCGCATTACGCCGCTGTCTGTAGCCTGTTAGCATCTCTAAGAATATCACACTTTCAACAAACCCTCATAAGATAACCTGGTAACTCTCCTTGATAAAATCAACGGCGTTAGCTTTGCTTCCTAAAGTCCACTGTGATTTCATATTGTTTGCATGAAACAAGCGCACTTTGGTGCTAATTCACTGAACCAGGAAGCGAGGTTAGCGTAAGGAAGCTCGTTGCAACTTATTCTGCCTTTATTTTAAACAGTGGGCTCGAATTAAACAGGAAACCGATTTAAAGAAAAAGAAGCCATGAAGGTAAGTGGATGACACCGATACAAGTTTAAGTTTTATAAACTGTAACTTTTCGAAAATGTGGGTTTATCACGTGAAGAAAAATAGACATGCTTCATTTTAAAAGCACGAGCCTGTCTGATGACCTGACAACCATTGTTTGCAGTCATGTGTAGCTGTCATGTTTGCCTAAGCTTTATGGAAATTGTAATCCGTGTGGTTTCAATTAAGATTATGATTTAAATCTAAAATGATTAGAAAATCTGTCCGATTGTTATCTGTTTTATTTTGGAGGAGAATTTAAATGCATATCATTTAAAGATTAATTTTGATCAGAAATGTTGTTATATTCCACAGATTCCATATTCCAAATATTCCACATCAATTCCATACATAGTCAGACATGTAAGCATATGCTTTTAATTATTCTGGCTAGTTGCAATAATTAAAAAATACTTTTCTTGAAATGTTAAGTATTAATTTGTAGAAGACCAGCAAATAAAATAAAAGGAAATGACCAATTAAAGTCCCATTGTAGTGGAAAGTTGTCCTCTGGTTTAAACTAACCCTTAGGGAGCAGATTGATGCCACAGCAAACAAGAAATCTTAGAATCAGAAAATGCTTAATTGGCAAGTAATGGTTTTTTTTTGTGACAATGTGCTACTCATAGACAAGCTAACATACATCTGATGCGTCATCTGAATTCATCAAAATGGCAAGGACTTAGCGTTGTCCAATTAATGCTGGCAGTAAGGAAGGAAGCAGGAAAAGGAGCCTGTGTGCTTTCTATCATATTTCCTTAAGCGTATGGAGTTAGCAGGGTTCCTTACTGGCATTAAGGTTCTAAAAGCCCTTCTTTGTTAACATCAAAAAACTTCTCTTCAGTTTATTTTTATATCGGCAATTCATAACACATGTCATCTCAAGGCACTTTACAGAAACAATTCAACCAGATCAAACAGTCAGATTGGTTCACATGTTTCTATCTATGGAAAACCAGCTGATTGCATTGACTCATTTACTCTTGAACAGTCCCTTACACCAAGCATTGCCTGTAGAGACATTAAAGTGGAAAACTCGCTTTGTAATAGGAAGAAACCTCCGGCAAAACCAGGCTCAGTGTGAGTGGCCATCTGCTTAGGCTGACTGGGGTTCATGGAGACAGAAGCAGACATACAGAACGAAACAGAGATACAAACGGTAACAGTTAACTAGCTCCAAAGGTGGCTCTGTCAGGGGATAGACACAGCTAGGCAGGGGAGCTCCAACCGAATTCTGTTAGTCACAGTTAAAGAAACGGGACTACACTGGAAACAGGGCAAGCTATAAATATCTATAAACAGAGATGCAGGAGCACAGCTGATATTTCAATCCAGGACGAAAAGAAATAGACCAGATGAAGCTACTATGATGAGAAAAAGGAGAGCATTAAGTTAAAGGTTGAACTAAAAACTTCTGCAGAATGGAAGAAAAGAGATATAATGAAGTGGGATGACGAAAAGGGGTCCCTATGTCCTCCAGCAGTCTAAGCCTATAGCAACATAACTATAGAGATAGCTCAGGATAACCTGAATGCATTATTGCTTCATGAGTAAAGTGTCTTATACCAGCATATGTGCACGACTTCATACATATCCGTCTGCGTAATGATGAACTTCAGGAACTAGGGGCTAGTATTTGATTATTCGTATGCCCGGGGTTCAAGTGTGACGTCTGAGGTTGGCTTTTCTTTGGTGCAGATGCCCTGCTCACTAACCACATAGGCAGAGTCCTGTGAATAACAAAAACAATTTGTAATTATAGTAATACAAAAAAATGTGTGTTATATCTACAACAATCATAGTGAAAACTGTTAAATTGATTGATGTCTGTTGACCATGAGTCCCAGGGTGCCTTGTCACCTGCTTGTGTTGTCTCAGCTTTATCTTGAAGCTGTCATTTTTTAGAATTAATGTCCACACCACAAAAAGACCAGAGGAAAATCTCAAATGTGCTTTTTAAAAACCTTTGTCTCTGAATGTTTAATATAAACTTAGCTGCATTGTACATGAGATCATAATGTATAACTGTGTTCATGTTGTTGCTTTTTTAAATTCCTATTTATTGTGGCCCTTTGTACAGCACCTGGCTCTGTTTTTCTATTCCTTTAGAAGTGTTACAGTATATAAATAAGCTGGCAGGTATGGAAGTACTTGGATTAATGGCCACGTCACAGTTGGATTGGACTGGCAAACTCACAAATTAGATCCTATAGAGGGAGTTGACATGGTGCAAATAAACTTGCCTTATTACCATTAACCAACCCACTGCTGTCAAATTAGTTTCTTATATATTTTATTTCAATCAAACTTGTGTTAAGCTAGTGCAAGTAGACCCTTTACTTAAATGGTAACTAGATCAAAAAATAGACATGGTGCATTAGCATCTCACAGACAACCTTTGGTATAAAAAAAAAGCCACAGTATCAGCGTCTTTACATGAAGACTAAAATAAGAAAGGAACATGTGGTAGTTGATTTTATTGACTCAAGCCTGTTGATCAACTTTTAATACTGACACAGACTTTTCTCTCATGTGGTGCTTGAAATTGCAGATTCAAATTGATTTACGGAACACTTCTAGCGGGGGCATGAAAACGAAAAAGCAGCTTCCTCTAAATGTTCTCCTTTATTCTGGCACCATAAGTTGTCTTGAAGATGAAAATGAAAACGTTTGGATGATCAAATAGCATAGTTTATGAGTGAAAAAAACATAAACCTTAAAATGAAAAAGCAGGTTTGGTAATACAATTTTAAAGATGAGCAAATTATAAGTTAATTTTGGTGACTTTCTGCTAGTTCATCTTTTGAAAATGAAAGGTTAGACATTTTTTTTTTCTTCATCATTTATCATGAGCGCCCTTCGAGAACGAAATGAAAATGCAGTGTAGATTGTTTTATGTTCAAGTCAAACAATGCAGCTTTGACTTTGAAATAAAAAAAATATTTCTGCTAATGTTTAATGTGCAAATTTTACAATCCAGAATATTTTTTAATATGTATTTTCAAATTCAATGTTAAACATCCCTTTCCTAATTTTACTTAAGTAACAGAATAAATTGCCTTGGGAAAAAAAAAGAAAATGTAGTCTGGATAATCTATTAGTACTTTCTATTCTGAGTCTATGAGTTTAAATTTAAAAAGCATCTCTATTATTACGTTTACATTTTCTAATTTGACATTTCAAAATGAATTTTAGTCACTTTTGCTGGGACATCTTTTAAATGTAAAAAGTAATTTAATTTAGTTTATTGCTAAAACAATGAATCACATTAATTGGGATTAATCCATAATTGAAATAATCGTCAACTTATTTAGTAATTGATTAATCGTTAACTAGAGTGTAGAGACTCTAAAGCATGCGTTTAGACCGAGCGGCCCATTTAGAGCAGTAAATATGCCAATGTTGTTAAAAAGAAAAGTAATATTTTGTTTATAAGACAAAAATAATTTTTCGTCTATCAATATGCTCTATCCAGAACAGTTTCACCTCGTTTTAATTCTGTAATAAAAACTTCTTTGAGGAATTTTTTCTATTCAATTATTGAGTAATTGAAAAAAATATTTACAGATTAATCAATTAGCAAAATTAGCATTAGCTGCAGCCCTAAATTAATTTAAACATTGAGTTCACTTGGAGAATAAATTAAACGCAGTTTAGATTATTTATTTTTCATTTTATTTAAAGGGAAAATGAAAAAGCTTTCATTAATGTTAATTTGAAGATTTGCTTCCAAAACTTTCTTTTTCTGTTCCAGCTGCTTAGATTTCCCAGACGAAGCTTCGTCGTGTTGTGGGTCCTTTCCATTCAGCTGGTGCTGTGTAGGATGGGTGTGTTCGCTGGGGATGGCACTAAGGCCTGCAAACTGCCCTTACAGTCTGAGTCTGAAAGCAAAGCCCTTAATAACCTAGAACCACTGGCCAACCAGAAGTAAGGCTTTGGTACCACATGCACAGTCTCTTTGAAGTAACAAAATGTTAAAATTCAAATAATTTCCAATCAAATCTAATCACATTATAGTTAACTTGATGGTGCTCCTATGTTGGCAGCTTTACAGTGGACGTCACAGTCAACACTAGCAGCTACCGATACGTGTTCCAGGTATGTGGAAACGCAGGAGGTGTTCCTGGAGCCGGAGTCATTCAAATTAACCTGAAAGCACAGGAGAAGCCAACAGTTATTGGCCGTTATGACTCAACCAAAGCTATTGGAGGCAGTAAGACTCTGCAACACATGAAAATTCTTCTTTAATTAATCAGAATTTTTGTTTGGCTGTTCTTAATAAAATCAATCAAACTACAGGCTTCAAAAGAATCAGAGACATTCAGTCATTCTTCTCTTTTTTTTTTTTCTTTTTGTCTGATCTTCCAGGTGACTGGGTAATGCTGATCTACAGTAATGGGGATCCATATGACAACCACTGCAACAAGGAACCTAGAAAGGCCATTATCATGATCTCCTGTGACAAAAACACAGAAGCGGTAAAATAAATGCTGATGGGGGGGGTGCATGGTGCTATGTTGTTTCAGGTTTCTCACACAGCTCTCTTACTTTTTTAGGCTTATGAAAACATTGATAGTTGTTTGATACAATGACTCAGAATTGTAAGCGGGGTGAAATGTTGAGAAACGTGCGCTAACATGCTCTATATGCACGTAATTTTGCTTTCAGTAATTGATTAGCACTTTTGTTTCCAGTGAAGGTGACATTTTTTTCACAGTCATTGCTATGTAACTTTTCCTGCCTGGAAATGTTTCTTTTTGTTTTTTTGTTTTTTTTTGGAGAAAGTCAGAAAACCTCATTGTATCTTGTTGTTTTATTCCTAGGGTAAGTTAACGGTGGTTCTGGAGGACAATAAAAAGCAGAATGATTGCTTTTACCTCTTCGAGATGGACTCCAGTGCGGTGTGTCCTGTAGTTCAATCCCGGCTCAGTGCTGGCTCCATAATACTTATCATGTATGTAAAGCTATTTCCACTATGACAAGCAAAGCACTTGTCACACTGCAATAAGAAATGATGATTATAAGGTTTTCCTTCTTTCAGTGGGTTCTGCCTTGTGGCAATTTACCTTATTGGAGGTTTTCTGTACCAGCGGCTGATTGTTGGAGCCAAAGGAATGGAGCAGTTCCCTAATTATGCTTTCTGGGTGGAAGTTGGGAACCTTACAGCGGTAAGATGTGTTACAAATCCCAAAAGAGCTTTAATCACCCATATATTTCCACATTTAGTACCTTTGTAACAGCAAAGTTCTATTAATTTTAATGGGGTGTTATAAAACAGACCAACTAAAGGAAAGAAAAATTATTTTAGTAGGCATTTAGATTCAAACAATAAACAATACATAAGGATTAATGAACTACCCCAAAAAAAGGTTTGAATATTAGCATTTTTCTTTTCTTTTTTCAATTGAGGAATTGCTCATTTTGAATGATTAAATGCAGTTACTGTGGGATTTTTAACAACATAAATCCCACTTCTTTATGTAACTGAAGGAGGCTATTTTAAACTATATTTTTCGGGAGTAGTATTTGTTAATGTTTACTATGACATATTATCACAGCCATACAGTTACCTAAGACAGACTGCGAAGAAACAATGTTGAATGTTTTTTTTTATCCTCACTTTTATCATTATTCGGGTTGTATGACAACATTTTAAGGTCCATAATGCCAGACCCTAGTTTTAACTGCTGTTTTAAACATCAAAATCTGTTGTGTAATTTCCATTAATACTCCAAGAACAAAACCCTAAATACACAGTCTGAGCTAAAATGAAAGAAATCAGTACGTTAGAAAGGCCCTGTCAATATCAAGGCTGAAATATCCAGTTTGACTGAGCTTGAGCTCAATTTTGTAAACTGAATGGACAGAAAGTTATTATTTTTTAAATAAAAAATCAAGGCGTTTAATTCAACATGTGGTTCCTCAAAAGGTTAGGCTGGTGTGTCATCCATTACATAAAAAAAAAAGTTAAAGGGGTGTGATGCAGTGAAGGATGTTCTCTTATTTTCCTTTAACATTCAAGGTGAACTTGACTCACTGTTTACAGGACGGCTGCGACTTTGTGTGCCGCTCCAGAAACCGAGAGGAAGCTCCAGCTTACAGAGGAGTGACCAGTGAAGCTTTAGAGGAAGAGCCAGAAGAGAGAGACGACCACTTACTACCTATGTGACCTTTGAATATTAAAAACCTGACATTCATTTTTCGCTGTGTGACACATGTTGCGCTTTGAAAGCTTAGATAAAGTTACTGGTGCACACAAGTGTGTTTTCTTTGCCTGGATTACATCAGTCCCCTGCTAAAACCTTGCTTGTATTCTAGACTTGTGCCTCAAAGAAGGATGTGGTACCTGAGAGGCTGAAGGCTGATATTCCTCTCATAGTCAAAACATTTCAGCTTTAGTTCTACTTTACCTTAAAACAAAGGGATTTAAACTTATTTGGAAAGGAAAAGTTTTTTTTTTTTTTTATGGTATAAAAAGAATGTAAAATAGCGATGACTCATGTTTCTGCTGAACTGATGGCAGTGGTTGAATGATTGTGCAAGTAGCACCAAGATGTTTAGGCAACCCTTGCTGCAGGCTGCAGGTTAATCTTTGTGAACAGCTAGTTTGACCGAAACCGTTAATTTTCAGCTCTAATACAGTGGCAGTGAATACAGCCTTGTGGCACGTGTACAGAGCAGAGGAAACAAAAAAAACCCCAAAGTTTATGAAAATCTATTAGTTTGTTTTATTTTATTTTCCCCCAAAGTAAAAGACAGAAAAAAAGTTTGTACAATAATTATGTTTTTTTTAATGGTTATTGGATCTTTCAGGTGAAAGTTTTTTTGGGTTTTTTTAACCCAAAAGGTCAAAAAGATGTAAAGATCATTGAAATTAGTAGTGCAATTGTTGTTCAACTTGAACGTTTTCACAATGGTTTTTACTTTACAAATCACAATCATTGGCACCCACTTATAGAGATGTGTAAAAACAAAACTAAGGAATCAGCACTGGAGCATCTTATCTGAGCACATGTTCGGGTAGGATTAGTTGTTTTTTACTAAATCAACAGTGGCACAATTGGTGGTAACGTTAAAAGTCTAACTGAAGCATTGAAATTCATTTACAATTTTGATAATTGACCAGATTGGCTATAAAATTTTATTTAGTGATCTATTACTTTCCATATCCTCTTGTAATAGATGTAACTTGTGGAAAGGCTGATCGAGGACTTGATATTCTTTACCCTACAGGTGCATTCAGTCACAGGTGAAATGTAATGAAAGTTAGAACAGTTTCTCAGGATTGTAATAGAGATGCAAAATTAGGGCATCTGCATCTCCAGAACGACTTTTAGAAGCTGGCTACATTACAGCCAGTAGGGATATTAATATATGTAAGAAAAAATAATTTTCTGTCCTGCTAGCACACATGTAAACATAAAATAAGATTAAACCTTCCATGGGAGTTTTCAAAAAGAAAAAGCAGCTCATGCCAACTATTAAGTATGGCAGAGGAACTGTGATGCTATGGGACTGTTTTGCACTCCAACTGCACCTTGATGTCACAGACTTTGAAATACAACTTTAATGTAAAAAAAAAATCTGGTTGTTATTGTCTCTTAACAGCTGGATGCTGCATAATGTTTCTGCTAGCAGCAAAGTAAAGAGACATCTACTTGGCACAACTCCACATTTATGTATGAAAACCATAGAAACTTGTCAGGCCACACCTGATGAATACTTATACATGTAATTAGAGGTGTCAAGTAGCAAAGTACAAATACGTTATGTTACTTAAGTAGAAATTTTAGCTTGCTATACTGTACTGGTAATTATTTTTTAGACAACTTTTTACTTCTTACATTTTTTTGCAATTATCTCCACTTTCTGCTCCTTGCATCCATCCTTTTTTTCTAAATAGACTCTGTTTCATTTAAGCTCATTTTCCTTACAGCCTGTTTGTATTTGAAAAAAATAAAAACCACTAAACTAATTTCTTTCATCCAGACAATGAATTTCTTTGTGGTTGGACTCAGTACTGGACTAACTTGTTGTTCGCCACATACCAAAATAAGTAGCTTTTCAGGAAGATACAAAGTCACCTTTGACACTGTTACTATTGGTTATAAAATTAAGAAAATAAAGTATAAGGAAGTTATTCAGAATTGTAGAAAAAATGTCCTTTAATAGAGAAGTGCAGTATAAGATTTAGAGCTCTTTTCCTTTAATCTTTTTTCCTGCATTACTTTTACTTTTATATTTAAGTACTTTTACTTGAGTAAAAAGCTTAAGTTTATACTCTAACTTCTTTGAAGGGGTTAAGCAGGATTTATAATTCTCTTTGAGTAATAAACATGAATACTTTTGATACCTCTAGTTGTAATCTTGTACTCATGCAGTCTCCTTGTGGCCATAGGCTGCTTCTGATATTGACCTTTTTTTCTCCAACACAGAAATTGTTGATCTGCAGAAATTTGCCATCCTAATTCCAACCCCTAAATCCTTTAGAAGACATAGGGCCGGATTTATCAAGATCCAATTTTGCGTGCAGTAATTTGCGCTCGCAAAGTGGAATTTTGCGCGAGGGGCTGAACCATGGTTTGCGGGTGATTTAACAAGAGCGATTGCGTAACTGGTGGCAGGCGCAAAACTGTTGGAGACGCCCTATTTAAATGATGGTTTTGCGCGTTTTGTGGTTTGCGAAGTACTTTGCGAAGCAAAGTAGTTTGTAGTTTGTGCAAACTAGTGCATTAAGAAATTTTAATCTTACAGTGACACCACCCCCTCCAAAAAAAGAAATATATATATATATATATATATATATAAACTTTGGCAACCTTTATTCCCTAAGGTGGTATGTGGCTGAATTTCTACTTCACCGCAGTAAGAAAAAAACACACAAACAAAAATAAAACAGGTGTTTTTTATCGGCCTGTAGAAAAATGCACATACCAAATGGCTCACAAGAAGTGACTGTGGATAAGATGACTGCATTGGCATGTTGCTCCACAGGCGCAGGGTGTCGGGGTTCTCCGGTAGGGCGTCAGGGCGACATGGCATTTAGAACGTCGGACAGCACTTCTGAAAAACGAGATTGGGAGATCCCAGATGCAAAAAAGTGCAATGTTGCAAGGAGTTTCGTGATATCTGGTATTGCGTGGGTCCTCCTTGTGCCTGGCTCCAAATCCATTCGGAGTTCCCCCAACAGCTCCAAAATGGCAATGCTGGATAAACGATATGTTTTGATGATCGTTTCCTCGTTCATTCCAAAAATATTCACACGGAGTGAAAAAATGCGTTCTCTGCGTCTCCTTGCTTCATTTCGATTTCTCCTTCTTGCGACAATAACCGCTGCCATGTGTGCGCAATTACGCATACAGACCATTTGCACCTTCTTTTGAAACGTGTTAAATATAGAGTCAGATACCGTTAGCAAAATTGCTTTCAGGTTTGATAAATCACTTTGCGAGTGCTAAATTAATATATTTACATGTTATCCTCCCACAAGACGCACTTTTGCGTGTAAACGCCCCATATTGCATATTCATTGCAGAAAAAGTACTAAATGGATAAGAGACGCTATTTAGCACGTTTTAAAGACCAAATCCTTTTAGCACGCTGTTGATAGATCAGTTTGTACATTTTTTTGCGTGCGCAGTGAAATAGCTCACGTTTTAATACACACAAAACCTTTGATAAATCCGGCCCATAGAGTGAGCTGGCATATTAAAGAAAGGGAACCGGTGTTCTGAGATTGCTCTGTATGCGTTAACTTCATGAAAGATTGGCCGTAAATTTCTCTATTAGCACAATGTGCAGGTGTTAACAGAAGGGAGGATAATTATTGGCGATTTTGTTGAATAGTAATGTGAGATTTGAATAATACTTGGAATACATTTTTTTTCAATTTGACTGCATTAAAAAAAGGCTTCAAAAAATTATTTCCATTTTTTTTTCTTACTGATCCCTATCAGGGGTATCAATGAATGTAGCTGGCACTGTATATAATCTCCCCAAATGATTTCAAAAGTTTGGTATACTGTGTATTATGTTTTGATACAAACCAACAATAACTGTCCATTATTCAGTGTTTAAAATGTTTCCTGGCTGCTTACATTGTAATTGTTACCCCAAACATAAGGAATAGTTTTACATTTTTAGTTGCACACCTTTTTTTTTAACTTGTGCTTGACCAAAACTTTTCAGATGCTGCTTTTGCTTCTACTGTAAAACATATGGAGTGGCAGTGAGAGTGCTTTCTGCACTCCTTACTATTATAATATGTTAGTTAAGTTAGTTTAGAGGAAAACATCCACAACATTTATATATTCTTTATCTAAATTTGAGAATAAATACTGCTGAAGACTATGATGTTTTTTTTTTTTCAATTTTGTCGGGAGTGTTTTTGAATTTCACTTCATACCTTACTCAGTAGATGATAACAGCTTAATGCTTCATTTTCTCTAGTTGTTTTTTTCTTTTTTGTTCAGCGTATTTTTTCCTGTATTCTGTGATGTAAATGGTTTCACTTGTACTTGAAGAAAATAAAAGAAATACATCCAGGTTTTATAATTGTTATAGTAAAGGGTAGTTTAAAAGTCCCAAAATATTATTTTGCTTAAGATTTTAATTTTGTTTACTTGAAGTCTTCCCTTTTTTTTCATCTTTAAGATCCAATACAACATTTTGAAACACATTGTCACAGTTACATAGACCAAAACTCCTATCCCAATATGCTTATGTTATTTTCTCCAATTAAGTCCTTATCTTGGAGATTTGTACTTTCAGGTTCTGTCTATCTAGCATAGATATGCTTTAGGTGTGGTCAATTCTCTTTTGTCTTCAAGTCTCCTTTCCTCATTTCTTTTTAAGGACACACACTGCACACTTTGCTGATGTTGATTATAAACAACAAGACCTAAGCTTGAAATTAGTATAAAAAAAGCTCTAAATATCTTAATCAGAAGTGTAGTCCAATAGAAAACTTGAAAAAAAGTTGGTCATGAAAAGTTTTAAATATTACAAAAAAATGCTACCCGTGAGGTAAAATATTAAAAGTCAGAAAACTGCAGATCTGCAACTAATCTACATAATTTCAAATTGTCTAATCATGAATATTGTTGCTCTATTTTAAAGACAGTACAAATTTACTGGATGGGTTCCGGTGAGTAAATACAAGGTTCCTCTCCAGACGGCAGTGTTCTATGCAAGCATTGGTCCAAATGAAAGATTGGTTTTTGTATTTTTTTCTAAATATTATAAAACCTCTAATGCTTTGTTCCCACCTAACCTTTGTATTGAAATGGCATTTCAATTTACTGAATTAAAATGTGCTTTGTGTAAGTCCTGTTCTGAAAACCAACTTTTATTTTACTTTTACCTGCATCATTCAACATATAGGTAATATTAATATCAGGTAATACTATCTGCCTTGTAAATTAGATTCTGATTTCTATAGAACATGTCAGCAGAAAGAAGCTAGAAGGACTTATAGAAAATGTCATGAAGGTTGAGCAGACTGCAGTTAAGAAAGCAAAGGAACCAGTGCTAGCGGTTAATAAGGACTTGCTGTAAAAACTTAGACCAAAAAAAAAAAAAAAAAAAAATGGAATTCTGTTTCTTGTCAGTTTTATTCTAGACCAGGGGTCTTCAACATTTTCCAGGCCAAGGACCCCCAAACTGATGGCGAGATGGAACGGGGACCCCCTAATTATATATATTGTATTAATTTGTGTTATAGCAAACTGGTCCTATCACTTTATTACATATGGAGTAATGTAACGAAAGTAATTTCGCTTTGGGATAAAGTAGGAGCTTGATAATCTAATAAAAAAAATGTCTTTTTCAGCTTTTAGGCTATATAACTGATTCTTTTCAACAATTTTTGAGATGCGCTTTTACACAGTGTGCTATATTAAAAACGCTATAATGTTTTTGACCAGGAGGGGTCATTGTGGAGCATTTAAATCGTTAAGAAATTTTACGTTTTCCTCTACAGTTCGATATTTCCTCGTATCTTTGGGTCATTGTTAGCTGTTTCTCCTCTGTTTCTCTGCTCTACATTTTTAGATAAAACACATTAATCAATTAATTGATTGCGCTTTAAAAAAAAGCGTATTCCCGCCAACAACTTTTGCAAGAACTGTAAGCCTATCATTTTTCAGACGTCACCTCCACGTTGGTGAACGCCCCCCCCCCCCCCCCGTTAATTTACAGCTCCGTTGTGCCACAGCGCCACCTAGCGACCCTCCAGAGTACAAATAGAGCATTAGAATAAGTGGCAGGAGGAGGGCTTTCACTGCAAGCAAAAAAAATCTTCAAAGGGATTGTCGTTCCAAGTAAAACATAATAAAAAACACAAAACAAAAATAGCCCCAGTGCGGTGAGTTCATAATCTATTTAAAGGACAAACAAGCCTCACGAGAGGTAAGCACCTGAATACATTTCAACTTACAAATCAGTGGAATGTAGGGGGGGCTGCCCTCTCTCTATTTACAGCAGCTAACATGCTAACCTGTTAGCATGTAATTACTACTTTACGTCAAGTAGTTTCTTGTGTTGCAAAAGCCTTTAAATGTTTATAACTAAAGACAGAACTCCT